AGATAGATAGATAGATAGATAGATAGATAGATAGATAGATAGATAGATAGATAGAGGGTGGGAGGGAGGGAGGGGTTGTGGAGCACATTCCTGTTCTGAATGCTTGAGTCATAACTAAGTATATTTTCTTCTCCCTATTTAATATTCTATTTCTCCGAACTTTAAGCAGTGAGTGTTGGGTTATTCCACGATAACTGACGGGAGTTTTGGACTATAAATTCTCACAATCTTGACACTGTAACTCAGTATCAATTAATGTATTTCAAATTTAAATGATCAGAACAATTTAAAGACATTTTAAGAATCACTTATTATTAAATGCAGTCATTTGAAAAAAAGTACTTTATGCATAATCTGTGACGTGTTTAGTTTCGGTAATGGACGGGAAAAGTGAGGGGGTTTTTTCTGTTTCGTCTGTTCCCGAATCCAAACGCGTGAGAGAATTTGCACAAAGTACTTTTTTTTTTCAAATGTAACTATAGCTGCATTTAATAGCATTATCAATAAAATGTCATTTGAATGTTCTGATCACTTAAAGTTGAAATAAAGTAATTGATACTGAATTACAGTGTTATCCTTGTAAGAGAGTACCATCCAAATTATGTTCCGTCAGTTGCTGTGGAATAACCCTGTCACGTTCTTGTGGTGAGGACTCAGAAGGGAGTGGGAGGTGCAAGATATGGGGACGAGTGGCGGGGAGTATATTTTTTGTTCTTTGAAAGTCGGGACGGCAAACCCTTATAAAAGCAAACACACGTATACCCTTGCTACCTTTCCTATATCCTTGTGCTGCCCTTCCTTTGTTCCAAGAGGCCTTTCTTTAATCTCTTTCTTCCTTCTTTACTTTCTTCTTTTTTTCGTTTTTTTGTGTTGTTGTTTGCTTTATACCTTTCTGTCTTTATGTTCCCCTTTAGGAACGGCGAAGACGGATCTAATTCTAATGTCGTCATCGACTCGATTTCTTTTCTGTACCGAGGTTTTGTCGAAGAGTTGAAACATAGGTACATTATTTTATGTACTTTTAAGCGGCCGTTGACACTTTGAACCAAATGTGCCACTCTATTTCGGGGGATTTCGTTCAGTTTCTTTTCTATCGTACTATAGTCTATTACATTATGTAAAATGTAACTTATACTGTCGGTATCTTTGCTAGATTTGCTTTCATAATTTTTTTCCGAGTACATGTATTTCTAAGTATAAAAATATGTAAGAGAGGTTTAGGATATGGGTGTGGATGTGTGTGTAACGGTGTGTGTGTGTGTGTGTGTGTGT